CTGATTTTATTTTAAAAATCATAAATTAAATCGGTCTTTTCTGGCCGAGAAATTAGGGGATGTCACAACTTCTGTGATACATGATATGCTATTTGATTTTATATGATATTGGCAGGGAAAGACCATGGGGGGAGCCCATGACACTTGGATGTAAGACCATGTGGGGGAGCCCATGGCTGTCCGGTAGGGAAAGACCATGGGGGGAGCCCATGACACTTAGATATAAGACCATGTGGGGGAGCCTATGGCGTCCTTATGCAGGGATATGTGGTAGAGATAGCTTTTATTGCTAATGTTATATGGTAGAGATAGCTTTATGGCTAATATGTTATGTGATATGTGGTAGAGATAGCTTTTATAGCTAATGTTGTATGGTAGAGATAACTTTATGGCTAATATGTTATGTGGTATGCGGTAGAGATAGCTCATATAGCTAATATGATATATGTTATGTGGATTGTGTGTGTGGTATGCTCTGGGGGACTCACTAAGCTTTATGCTTACGGTTTACAATTTTGGTTTCAGGTATCATCGGTTTGGAAAAGAAGAGCTCAGATTGATCGCAGTGCACACACCTATGATTTCCACAATGAATGATTTTGGGATGAACTCTGATAAATGATTTAGTTATCGATGATTTGAAATGTTTGAAGTAAATTGTATCAATGTTTTAGTTATATTAAAAATGAAATTTTTACCCTTGATTTTTGGGTCGTTACATTTGACATGTTTACCCTTTTTTCCGGTTAGCCGGTAATTAGGACTTTACTGTCAAAAAAATAATTTTAGGACTTTCTTGTCAAATCGTGAATTAGGACTTTACGGTCAAAAAAATAAAGTTTAGGACTTTTTTGTCAAATCGTTGAAAATATTGGGACTTTAGTGTATTTTCGTAGCCCAAGAACTTTTAATTGTGATTTTTGTCATTTACCATGATACAATCACGATCAAAGGAAACAGATGCAAAAGAAAGAGCGAGAAAGGGTGAAAAGACTTGTACGCTTTCTTCTGGCTTCACCGCCAAATCTTGAACTAAAAAGTGGGGGTCAGATTATACAAACACAAACAACACATATATACTCAAAAGGGTGTGAATGTGGAGTAGGGGGTAAGAAGGGCAATTTTGTTTTTTTCGGTTTCTTAGTTCTCCATTTTTAGGACTGCAAAAAGTCAACACAACCCTGATTCTCTCTTTCTTTCTTGATTATCTCCATTTTTTTTCAATATCGGGTTGTTGAGATTAAAAAAAAACAAACTATTTAACAAGAAACAAACGTTAAGGATTTCAATTGGATCTAGCTGACTAAAGCATGTTTCAATTACTCTTATACTTAATGACTATCATATCATTAAATTTCTAACCAAAAAAAGGATATATACACTAAAGTCCCAATATTTTCAACGATTTGATAAAAAAAATCATAAACTTTATTTTTTTGACAGCAAAGTCCTAATTCACGATTTGACGGGAAAATCTCAAACTTTATTTTTTTGACAAAAAAGTCCTAATTACCGGCTAACCGGAAAAAATGGGTAAAGTGTCAAAAACTGCTGGTAGTTAAGACTTTACTGTCAAAAAAATAAAGTTTAGGACTTTCTTGTCAAATCGAAGAAAATATTAGGGCTTTAGTGTATATATCCCTTTGTTTTTGATACATTTTGTTTCCTAGCACCATAACCGATAACCGATCGAGGTCCTCAAACAAGTGCAACCGGTCATGCATTCTAATGTTACGATCTCAATATCAATTAACAAAGTTTTTAAAAGAAAGTTAGTTTTGTAGTCTAGAAATGGAGCTTGTACCGCTTGTGTACCATCTAATTGTAATTTTATTTAGTGGGATAAGAACATAGAAATTATTGCCGATCTTAGGCTAAAAAAATATTTATATCAAATTTTTTTACGTGAGATTAAAAAAATTATAGATTGTTTGTTTATCATAATCTACCGTCTCTAACATTTTTTTAAATACGTCTCTAAAATAAAAACGAATTTCTTTACAACTTATAAATTTCCCTCGTTTCAACAAAACCATTTAATTAGAAATAGATGTATATTAAAAAAACTAATACTATTTTTATATAAGAAATAGAGGATACATTCCAAATAAGGAAATACAATTATTCGGCGGCTTTATTATATATTCTTATATAAAAAATGAAATATTTATTTCTGTTTGTCTAAAAATTTTGTCATGATCCCATCCTAACAAACCCCCATCCCTAGAGAAGGCTATAAATTGAGGAACTTGGGGAGATACCCATTTCATTGAGCTTCAGTGTATAGCATTCATATATTCAAAAAAAATTACAGTTCTACCCATGGCTGCATCTTTCTCCGTTCCTTCAATGGTATCTCACTCTCCTTCTCTTTATGTATACGTATACGTACATACACATATGTTTATGTATACATATATGTATATAGACATATATGTTTATGCATATGGATATGAATATGCAAATTCTTCACAAATCCAGTAAACATATTTGTTCAATCAAACATATTTATGCATGTGTTGTATTAAAAACATTTGAAAACATATTAATGATTTACTTACTCAAGGAATTTACTTGCTTTTGATATTGATGGTTTATTATAATGTAATTTGAAGCATAACTGTACAAATCATTAAGAAATCTTCGTTATTTTAAAAATTTATAAAATATAAATCTGAAGTACTCATAGCTAGAAAAATCGAAATTGTTTGGGAGATTTTTATATGAACCAATCGAATTAAGGTTATATGAGTTTCTATCTTTGCTAATTAAGAGTGTTGTATGTAAAGTTTTATAAATAATGGGGCGAAATTGTGATCGAGTCGGTGCACGCACTTTGCAAATAATTGTTATAATAACATACACCGTTGTATTACATTGGCCTATTAAAACGGTAACCTTTTGGTTTTTATTGCTTAGAAAATGGGATTTAATGAAAGGGCAAATTCGGTATTTCACAGTTTTTTAAATGAACGTGCAGATTTTGGAAGAAGAAGGAAAATTTCAAGCAGAGGTAGCAGAGGTGCAAGCATGGTGGAACACCGAGCGGTTCAGACACACACGCCGCCCATACTCCGCCCGTGATGTGGTGTCTCTCCGTGGCAACCTTCGTCAATCCTACGGCTCAAATGAACTAGCCAAGAAACTCTGGCGAACCCTCAAGAACCATCAAGCCAATGGCACATCTTCACGAACCTTCGGTGCACTCGACCCGGTCCAAGTCACCATGATGGCTAAACACCTCGACACCATTTACGTGTCGGGGTGGCAGTGTTCGTCTACTCATACTTCAACAAATGAGCCGGGCCCAGACCTGGCTGACTACCCCTACGACACGGTTCCCAATAAAGTTGAGCATCTGTTTTTTGCCCAACAGTACCACGACCGGAAGCAGAGGGAGGCCCGAATGAGCATGAGCCAAGAGGAGCGGGCCCGGACTCCTTTCATTGACTATCTTAAGCCTATCATAGCCGATGGTGATACCGGCTTTGGTGGGGCCACTGCCACAGTAAAGCTTTGTAAGCTTTTTGTGGAACGTGGTGCTGCTGGGGTCCACATTGAGGACCAGTCATCTGTGACCAAAAAATGTGGTCACATGGCTGGAAAAGTTTTGGTTGCCGTTAGTGAACATATCAACAGGCTCGTAGCTGCGAGATTACAATTTGACATAATGGGAACCGAGACAGTGTTGGTAGCTCGTACCGATGCTGTTGGAGCTACGTTGATCCAATCCAACATCGATACGAGGGACCACCAATTCATTATCGGTGTGACTAACCCTAATCTGAAAGGAAAAGGGTTAGCCACACTGTTGTCCGAGGCAATGGTCGCAGGTAAAAGTGGGCCCGAGCTTCAAGCGCTCGAGGACAACTGGCTATCAATGGCTCGTTTGAAGACGTTTTCCGACACGGTTGTAGATGCGATCGGAGCAATGAATGTTTTGGAAACTGAAAAGCGACGAAAACTAAACGAATGGATGAACTGTTCGAGCTACGAGAAGTGTCTGTCGAATGAGGACGCGAGAGAGATCGTTGCGAGGCTCGGACTCACCAATTTCTTCTGGGACTGGGACTTGCCAAGAACCCGAGAAGGGTTTTACCGGTTCAAGGGCTCGGTTGAGGCGGCTATTGTGCGCGGTTGGGCTTTCGCGAACCATGCGGATATCATTTGGATGGAAACCGCGAGCCCGGACATGGTCGAGTGCACTAAATTCGCACAAGGGGTCAAGACAATGCAACCGGAAACCATGCTAGCTTACAATCTCTCGCCTTCTTTCAATTGGGACGCATCGGGAATGACCGATGTCCAAATGATGGATTTTATCCCGAGAATAGCGAAATTGGGATATGTTTGGCAGTTTATAACTCTTGCGGGTTTTCATGCGGACGCTTTAGTTACCGACACTTTTGCGAAAGATTACGCGTCACGTGGGATGTTGGCTTATGTGGAGAGGATTCAAAGGGAGGAAAGGAAGCATGGAGTGGACACATTGGCTCACCAAAAGTGGTCTGGTGCTAACTATTATGATAGGGTGCTTAGGACTGTTCAAGGTGGCATCACTTCAACCGCTGCCATGGGAAAAGGTATATCCATAAAAGTACAACTGTCACTAATTGTTATTTCCTTTTGTGACGTAATTATGGCGTTGTAGCTGTTAGCGTCGGTTTGATTTGATGAGAACAAACTGTTTGGTTGGGTATCATTCAACAAAATTTGCAAGATTACTACAAAAACAGACAGTTTGATCAGTATCAGTATTAGTATCAGTATTGAACATTTTAATGTGAATGCAGGAGTGACTGAGGAACAATTCAAGGAGACATGGACGAGGTCTGGGGCGACTGACATGGGAGATGGGAGCGTTGTGATCGCTAAATCGAGGATGTAAAGACCGTCTTCGACTATCAGAGTTTCGACCACCAGGAATCGTGGACGTTTTATTATTATTAATGTTGCTATTATTATTGATGTTTTTATAATTATTATTATTATTATTACTTTTACTTTAATTTTGGTTTATGAAGTAGAAATAATGTCCATATAATGTTCTGGAGATTTTTCAGGGTGGACGTTTGTATGGTGCTGGAAACAGATGTTCTGTGCTTCTGTTTTCTTTGTGTTTTTAAGTTTCTATATGAAATTAAAGTATTAAGTTTGAAGTGTTGTTTTTGCTTTTGTTATGAGAATATTGTTGTCGTTGCTTCTGTTTTATAGCCAGCAGTAATGTTTATACCATATAAGTTTCTCGAGTATATTTGTTTGATTTGAATATTTTTCGAACTAATAATAAGAAGAAGAGTCAAAAAGAAGAACGATAACATGCTTTTTGTTAATTGTTTGTTGTAATATTTTTTTATTAGAACAATATTGTACTTTAAAAAAATATCAATTTTACAAATAATTTATCAAAAAATCACTACTTTATTTGTTCATAAAATACAAACAAAGAAACAGATTCTGAACACCACGGAAATAATTGAATTCAACAATTTATTTAAATATTGTAAAATGAATTATTTGTTCATTGTAAAAAAAATGTATACAATATTCGGGTTTTTAGGCACTTAAGATTTGAGTGTATTTCCCGATAGATCAGTTGTTCTTTTTCCATGGTTTAAGGATCGAGAGAATGATGATTAATGCTATAACAAGGAGCAAGATGATAGCGATCATCATGCATTTTCTTGATCTTTTTTGTAAGCTCTTGGCTGTAGTAAGGGCATCTGTGCCCATGTTTACGTGATCTACTGCATTTGCTACCTATAATACAACAAAACACGAAAATGTTGAAAACTATAGCTATATATAACATCAATAATTCAATATATATAGTGAGGTTTCAAGTTTCAACAATCATCTTTTCTATATGGGTCAAAGTTTGATTTGTATTGGATTATGAAATATGATTGATAAAATCCTATTTCATATGAGTTGTTTATAGGTGGGCAGGAGGCCCAGTTAACTGATTTGAGCCTAGATTCGGCCAATAAATTTTGTAAAGAGGCCCAGTTAAAAGAAGCTCGAGATACTAAAATCCTATTAAATTAAATTTGTTAAAAACAGAAAAAGTACTAGAAAAACACAAACTATAATAGTCAAAATATATATATAATATGTTAGTTTTGTGCTTATAAATACCCATCTTTTATCGAAGCATTTAGTATAGGAGTTTTTTCAAATAAGAATTGGCGTAACACTGTAACAGTGGGGTTTTTCTATATATAGTGTGTTTTTTTTTTCTAACATTAAATAAATTTAATGTAGGGCCTCCGGCTAAGACCTGAAACTATAGGAGATTTCAAATACTCACAAAATTAATATTAGGGTTTTCAATAACTGTGACGTTTTTTTTTTTTTTTTTTCGTTATAAGCTGAAACTTATGATCTTTTCCAATTAAATAAAAAAGTAGTCTATAATACATTATATTTTTATTCGCTATTTAAAATTTATGTTTTATTTATTATTTAAAATTTAAAAAAAAAAAAGAAATAATAATAATAATAAATACTGAGGACAGGTTTCGAATGTTACACTGGTTACAGAGTTATTGCATTTTACGATGATGAATCACTTCTTAAATTAAGAATCACTTAAAGCTCAAGAATTTCTGAACCACCGATGGTGAAATCATTTTAAGATTACTTCTTGGTTTATGGGATATATTTTTCGTATTTTAATTGACAAAAATAAAATATAATAGTAGTTAAATTATAAAATAACTAAAATATAATGACTTCTATAAATCGTATATTTTGTAACGACGTATCTTGTAGAATATTAATTATTGTAGCCCAGCGGTATAGCGGTATCAGGTGGTGCCTTTCCTCTTTGAACCCGTCGTGGACTTAGGTGGAATAAGTGTTGTTAGCTTAGGAGTAGATTAGATTTGCTGGTTAAAAAAAAAGTATTTTTTTTCCTAGAATAAAATTTCTATATTCTTAGATGATAAATTTTACATCATATGGGAAAAACTTTTTATAAATATGACTATGTTTTATACAATGTTAAAGACATTATATTTTACCAAACTTTAAGAAAATGGTGTCCATTTTCTAAAACGTGTCAAAAATTTATGTTCGTTTAATTTTGAAATGTTAGGAATTTCATACTATCAATTTAAAGTACAACTTTAGATACTTTCTTTTAGATATTAATGAATTTATAATTACAAATTATAACAATTAATCACAATTTATATAGGGGAAATGATTCGTACACAATAATCTTTGCCCATACACAACAATTTATGTTTTATAAGAATATACAATATAACATTTTAAAATATAAATTGTTATGTATAAAGAAAAACTATTACGATACAAATCGGTTCTTATAAATGACGGCATATATTTTGGTTTAGAAAAAACCTATCTCATCCACTTTTAAAAATAGTCTTTGCTTTGTAAAATTTCATTCCAATCATTAGAAATAGAGTCCATAGTACATTTATGCAATTATTTTAATTTTTTAATTAAATTTTGTAATGAATTGATCATGCAACTTTACTTTCATTTGTTACTAATAATTTATTAAATTACACAAATATAAATTGTTAAAATCTAGATAACAAATGAAAATACAAAAGTTGATCAAGAAAAATTAACAATAGACTAAAGCTTTGTTTGACTATCATAGCTGAAAACCTAACAATAGACTAAACTGATAAAAAAAATTCTTTCATAAATTGATAAAAAAAAATATGGAATTTCTTAGATCTATGTTTTTTTAACACATATGAAAGCATACATGTGGACAAAATATGTAACTTAAAAGCAAGATCCAAAAAAACACAAAAAAATTCATTGTGAATTAAAGGTAAAAAACGTCTATTAGAAATTATTTTGAAAACAACCAACTCTTGAAAAAATTAAAGGGAAAATGTGGTCCATTTAATGTTTTCATTTATATTTCAACAACAATATTATCATATTCTCATACAAATTGTATGAGTAAACAATAGATAAGGTGTAGAGACTATTTCTATAATAGACCTCCAAAAAAAGGATATATATAGAAATACAACTACAAGTAAATATATGAAAATAATTTTTTTGTAATGAC